TATGTATTTATTGTTCCTTTTCGATTGAACTTTTTTGAAATTTCCCAAAGTTATTTAAATAGTGTTTATAACATATTATATCAAAATTTTAAGTGTGGTTAAATATAAAACATAGTAAGAAAAGATAATGATAACATTTTTCTAATGAATAATTACTGTGTTGCATTATTCAGATATGAAGATATATCAATTAAGCACAGATTTGAAATGGAGAATTGTGTTTTTACATATTGATGGTTATTCAGATCAGATAATTGCAAATATGTTATGTTTTAGCATCTCAACTGTAAGAAGGATTCTTAACTTATATAAAACTTGGGGATGTGTTGAAACTCCTATTAAAGGACAGCAAGGAAGAAGAAAAATCTTTGATAAGAAGGATTTAGAAGTATGTTTATAAAATCATTCATCAAATTTTATTATTGAAATAATTTTTTTAACAAATAAATAATTTTGTAAAATAGTCATTGAAACAACTAGTTACTCAAAACCCTGATTTTTATTTGGATGAATTGGTAGTTGAAATGACTAAGAAATCTGGTAAAGAGGTATCAGTTGCAACATTATGTCATTCATTAAAATATTGTGGAATTACAAGAAAAAAGGTGAAATAACATTATTACAAAATTTTTTAAAATTAAGTTGATTCTTATGAAAACTTTATATTATAGATAACAAAAGCTGCAAAAGAAAGAAATGAACTAGTTCGTGGTTTTTTCATTTTAACAATAGGTAGTTATTATTCCCCAGAACAACTAATTTTTTTAGATGAGTCTTCAAAAGATGAAAGATCAATATCATGTTCATATGGGTATTCATTTAGAAATCAACCAATCAATCAGAAAGTGGTTTTTATACGTGGTAAAAGGTTTACCATACTGCCAGCATTAACTTTAGAAGGATATATTGCTTTGGACATCATGGAAGGCAATTGCACCAAAGAAAGGTTTCGAAGTTTTATTTTAGCACAAATTGTAAATAGTGTAAATAATTTGGGTGTTATAAAATGAATGAAAAGGGAAAAGGAGAAAAAAGTTGTAATAGAGAAAAGTTATTTGTAATTAAATATTTGTTTATGTATGATGTGAATAATATAATATTTTTGTTTAATTACTATTTTATAGTTACCATTAATGAATCCTTATCCACAAAAAAACAGTGTATTGGTAATGGATAATGCAGTTATTCACCATGATGATGAAATGATTCAATTAATGAAATAAGTTGGTTGTCATGTTTTATTTCTTCCGCCTTATTCACCTGATTACAATCCAATTGAATTATCATTTTCATTTATTAAAAAATAGATAAAAAGAAACAATATATTTATTATTATGCAGAGTTGTGCAGATCCTAACAGTTGCCTGTATGCAAATAACAACAAATTTGGCACATTCATATTTTAAAAAGTGTACATATATAAATTAATTAAAATAAGAATTTTCATTTTTATTGTAATTAATATTTGATATCTTTATATTTTTCTGCCTCTCTAATCATTTTTTTTCTTATACCAATTTTATCTATGTTAAAATATCCAAAACATCAATTGATTCATTGATAAAACTGTCCAAAAATTGAGTAAACAAATCATCTCTATACTTTTGATCTAATTTTTCTAAAAGGTCATTTATTGATGGTATGTCTCTTGGTTGTGAATTAATTGGTTTTGTTGGTGAGAGCAATGAAAAATTGATTGGGTGATTATTTTGTGGATAGGAGGGATTAACTGGTGGTTGATATATTGGATAAACCATAGGATAAAATTGAGAAGAAAAGGACTCAATTTCTCGATCACACACAAATGTTATTATTCAAGTATGATTGCTTGGCAAAACTCCTCCAGAAATCAATCGGCAGAGTTTCAACATGTTACGCGCTAATTTTTTAATAGAGCTTCGGCAGAGTTTCGCATTTGAGGGTTTTGACAAAGCAGAGTTTCATCAAGTTACACATTAATTGCTTATTAGAGTTTCGACAGAGTTTCGGCATTCGTTAAGAGGTTTCGGCAAGCAACCTTATATCCAAGCAACAAATGCATTGTTACAATCTGAAGATTATGACTATTTACATAATCAATTAAATTGGTCTTGAGCTGTTATCAACTATGCTTAATAGACTTCTACAATATTTTGATGATAATAATGATAATAATAATATTTATTTATTAATTATTAAAGATTGGTGTATTCAGGCAAGAGGTGTCCCCTTTCATAATTAAATCATCCATT